ACTGAAAGACGTTGATTCAAGGTACAAAAAATCCAATCTGGACATTGGGGATTGCCTTGTTAGTGAGACAACTCTCTGGGCCTTCGGTATATTGTGGTAGGGTGGCCAGTTCCTTTTAAATGGTATAAGTTTAAATTTAACGCCCTTATCAACACTAGTAGGTTACTTTAGAGGCAGGGCTTCAAAGTTTAACGTCCATCTCCGAAGAGACCAAGTCAAATGAAAAATCCGGGTAAAGTGCCTTTCCCAAGGACACAAATGAAATATTCAGATTTGACGGAAAGACGTTGATTCATGGCACAAAAAATAGATTTTTCGCCCTTGTCAGAGAAGGCTAGGAGAAGGTCTTTCCAATCAAAAGACCAAGGGTGTGGCTGAAAGACAGCAGTAAGAAGGAGCCAAGGAGTAGCAGTAGAAAGGCTGCGAAGGATACAACATCCCAGCAAAAAGACAGAGTAAAACTGTTTGAAAAATCCTCCCCATATGGGAATCAAACCAAAATCTTCAGCGTGCAACAGTGAAAAGCTTAACCCTTTTATCACAGACGCCAGCTCTTTGTTCTGAACGTTGCTACATACGCATTTGTATATAACGCATAGAGGTGTGTTCACAAGAGAGTAGGTGAAATAAAAATGAATCTACTGTGTTATTATTATCAATCATTATCAATCATTATTATCATTATTATTTATCATCAATATTATTATCATTATTATTTATCATCAATATTATTATCATTATTATTAGTCTTACTTTTATAATCATTATGAACAAGAAGTGAACAGCTCTAGACTAACTAAAAGTTATAGACTAGTTTTTATTTTTAGCAAGACTTTTACGGCACTTGCAACACAATTTAGTTGTACGAATGCCGAAGGTTAGAAGTGTTAATAATGTTAAACATTAAAAATACAAAGAGAAGAAGGAGGTGAGATCAGGATCATAGATGTTTGATAAGAAAGGACCAACCGTTCACATTTCTGAAGTGGTTGCGAATCAGATGTTTTAGTGTTAGCAAGGTTTTACAGCGCTCGCAACTCCATAAGGCCATATGAGCACCATGGGTGGATGTCAACAGAGAAGTCCTTACAGGTAATCAGGCTTACTCTGCTCATCTCTCCAGCTTCAACAGCACAAAGTCTGCTTCGACTATCAAAGCACCCTGGAAATAGCGGGTCACAAGAGAGTGACAAACATACAAAAGAAGTAGAGGAAAAATAACGATAGGAAAGATTAGGAAAGGAAAAGCAGCAGTTCCCTGTTGCAGTTCAGGCACAGTTAAGAGCAAGACATTGATGAATCAGCCCATTTACAATTCTACTGTACAGAAGAACATGTTAATATCCCCCCTTTGGGAATGGCCTAAGACACCAGTCAGCAGCAGCGCGCCGGGGGTGGAATCAAATATGCGTAGACCTGAGTCTGCTTGATGAAAAAAGTAGTACAGGAAGACAATGTATGGGCAGACTTGTTTTTACTGCTGTCCTTTCATGTATATAGTTAAAGTACAGTTGTGAAAGTTCTTCTTGATGTTGTTGAACTGATTTTTCTTGTTTTTGTGAAATATTTTTCTTGTGTGAACGATTATGTGATTGGTGTATAGCGCTCAGTTAGAGCTTATACTGGTATGGGATAGAGTGTTTTATAAATGCAATCTATTATTATCATTATTACTTATTATTATTACTTATTATTATTATTATTATTATTACTTATTATTATTATTATTATTATTATTATTATTTATTATTATTACTTATTATTATTATTATTATCATTATTATCATTATTATTATTATTATCATTATCATTATCATTATTATTATTATTATGATGTATGGGCAGACCAGGACCTTAGGAGTACAAAATTCTGTCGGACATCCATCTCCAGAAGGACCGAGCCAAGTGGAAAATTCGTGTAAAGTGTCTTTCCCAAGGACACAACGTCTGACCGAGCTGAGGCTCGAACTCCCGAACCCGCAATCTTACGATTACAAGTGTGGCAGCCTAACCACCGACGCCACTTAGCCGGTTGAAACAACATCGAAGGTAACCCAAAAAAAAGTATAAAGAAACAACACTGAAATTAAAAATTTGTTGGGTTTTTTTCAATTCGACAACACCAAAGTCGGAAAGACAGCACAAACCGACAGTAACAGTTCACGCGGCATAAACACTGCGGCATCTTCGGGCGACGGCCTTTGCCGTAAAAACCCAACATCCGCTGAGATCTGAAAGAAACACACTTGAAATGTAAGAAGCGGGCAGGAACCGACTCAGTCAAGCAGCAAACAGAGAACCGAAATGAGTAAGAGCCAGCCTGATTTCTCTCTCAAAGCCATCAATTTTTAAAAAAATGAAAATCTTCCAAAGATTTTCAACTTACTATGTTGTGAGTTGTGACACAAGAAAAATTCTATCTGAAGCAAAAAGCATGTTGAGGACGATAGATGTTTGATAGGAAAGAAGGAGCAAACTACACCAGAGCACCCGCCAACCACCCACCTTCACTGTTTAAAAAAATGGAAGATCCGACAAGAAAGCCCTGAGGTTGCAGACTTTTAACAACAAACAAACGTTAAAAAAAAGAAAGAAGAAAAGAACGAAAATGAGAAGTTTCAAAGAACCCAATGGTACCTGGATTCACTGAGACTGTTGAGCATGTCTTGAGCGACTTTTCTCTTCCACTCGGCGTCGATGGTCGGAGAGGACTTCCATGGCATGGACTGGACCAGCTGGGGACATTTAAACACGCACGGGTTAGATGAGAGTTGTTTAGTTCAGTTTTAGTACGTGTTTTACGGCACTTGCAACACAATAAAGTCAAATAAGCGCCAAAAAATAAAGGTGTTACAAGAGAGTAACATACACAAACAAGAAGGAGGAAAGATCAGGACGATGAATGTTTGATAGGAAAGAAGGAGCAAGCCACACCAGAGCACCCGCCAACCACTCACGTGCAGGGGTAAAATGAGAGCAGAGTCTTTAGTTTAAGTAAGGTTTTTAAGGCGCTCGCAACTGCATGAGGTCATATGACCGTCAAGGGGTGGAGGTCAACAGAGAAGTCCAAACGGGGAAGAATTAGGCTTACTCTCTTCACCTTGTTTTAGTTTTAGTAAGAGTTTTACGGCACGTGCAACACAATAAGTTCATATAAGTGCCGAAGATTAGAGGTGTTACAAGGGAGTAACAAACTCAAAAAAAAAGGAGAGATCAGGACGATAGATGTTTGATAGGAAAGAAGGAGCAAACCACACCAGAGCACCCGCCAACCACCCATTAAGTGAGAGTAGAATCTGGAGACTCCTTACATAAATAAATGAAAAAAATTCACAGAAACTGTAACTGCACTTGCTTTACACACTCAACATCACAAGTAGAATCCTTTTTGTTTTAATCTTACAAATATACACGTATTATAGGAATAAAAAGGCATGTATGAGACGGAAAAACATAAAACTGAAATAAAATAAATACCAAATTGACTAAATATTATATATGACCTTCTTCAACTGCAATAAAGGTACAGTCGACTTTGCTTAAACATAATGTCACAGAAATACAGAAAAAAAAACAATTTTAAAATAAAATTTAGAGATCAAGTTTCCATTCTCCCACTCTATTTCTTTCATTTAATGATGTCTAAGGGAACACACACAAAAAAAAGACTTCTTTACATTAGAAAATAGTTTTATCATATCAGTTTGTTTTAATTGATAGAGAAGTCTCGACCACGCTTTGTAGTCACACAGCCAGCAGTACAAAATACCCCATCTGGTCACCCAGCCAGGAGAGCGACTTCAACAGACCTCTGGCCTGGCGCAGGGGCCAGGTGCAGAACAGCGCCAGGTGACTGAAACGGATAATTTTCCCCATCGTATTATTGCACCGAGTGACCGCAAAGTGTTAGGGAAAAACCCAGAGAATTTTGCAGCAAATTCTGACCTGCTTCATCCTCTCCAGTAGGTTTTTGATGAAAGACGAACTGGACCGCACGGTGATCTCCACGGTGTAGGCCGCGTTGAGAATCTGGAAGGAGGGAAAACAAACAAAGAAATAAACACAGATATTAAAAACATAAATTTGGGGATTTCTTTAGATTTTGTTTTAGTAAAAGTTTTACGGCACTTGCAACAAAATAAGGTCATATAAGTGCCGAAGAATAAGACGTGTTACAAGAGAGTAACAAACACAAAAAGGAGGAGGAAAGAGAAGGACGATAGTTTTATATAGGAAAGAAGGAGGAAACCACACCAGAGCACCCGCCAACCACCCACAAATTTTCTTTTTGTTAATTAAAGTAGAGAAAAAAAAGGAAGAAAGATAAAGAGAAAAAAGAGGAAGAAAGATAAAGAGAAAAAAAGGAAGAAAGATAAAGAGAAAAAAAGGAAGAAAGATAAAGAGAGAGAAAAAAGGAAGAAAGATAAAGAGAAAAAAGAGGAAGAAAGATAAAGAGAAAAAAGGGAAGAAAGATAAAGAGAAAAAAAAAGGAAGAAAGATAAAGAGAAAAAAAAGGAAGAAAGATAAAGAGAAAAAAAAAGGAAGAAAGATAAAGAGACAAAAAAGGAAGAAAGATAATACACCACAAGAGATATTGAGACAGCATAATAATAGAAATCAAAACTGATACAAATTCTTTGGAAAACTTTCCTGCCTCGCCAAAACGATCCTTTTGTTTGTTCCTTTCAGTGAAGAGGACATCGACACAGTAGCCATCGTCTCGTGTCACCTTACGCGAAGACTATTTTCATTCAACAGAACCTTACTCTGGGGTATCGAGTAAGCTCCCCCCCCCCCTCCCTATCAATTTTAAGTTGGGTTTTTTGTTTTTTGCGCACCACCCGCTGTTCCTTATTCCATCCCCCCATTTATTATTTTCCAACTTGCCACGATCGACGATCATGTGAAACATTATATCTATTTTTTTTTTTTTTAAAGAAACTGGTTTGTTAATAATAGGGAAAAGTTGTCACAGTAACTTACTGAAATCACTAACATTTCGTGATCTCTTGTTCTTTTATTCACTGAAGGAGAAATAAAACAGATTTGTTCCTACAAGTACAGGGGTATGAGGTTGAATGTGCCACCCTTTGATTCCAACACCCCTGTTTATTAATTTTGGACCACCTGTCAACCCCCCCCCCTCCAAAAAAAAACAAAAAACGCTTCAATAATTTTTTTTAAAGATGTTCAGCATCCTAGCAGTTAGATTTAGACCACAGATCCCAGTCTGCGTAAGTCGGGGGATCAATTTAGTGGATTGGAAAACAATTTTTAGACGCAGAAATCACAGAGGAAGAGAAAAGTTGGACCTATCAGTGAAAAGGCAAATACAACTTAGACCACACCCCGAGAAAAAGAGAGACGACCCCATTCAAAGACTAGGATCAGGAAGATATTAAAAAGTTTGATCTAATTGTATTAGCATTCTTATAATTTATTTATATATTCTTTGAAAATGTATTTTTCAAATATTTTCTTTTTTTATTTCTTTTGG